CATACAATTACTGCCACTATTCGTACTTTACTTGGATTTTAAATAAAAGTAACTTTATTTTCCCATAAACGTGTTAAGTATTGCTGTTTTTAACGATTGTACCAATTCGAAGTAATTTGGAAGCTTGCTACGACTATGAATCGATACTAATCAAGAACATTAAACATTTTTAATTCGAAATGATCTGTAGTCAACGAAGATTAAACAAATGAATGTTTCCTGCCGTTTTACATTCCCAATCGTTTATAGTACCTACACGTACTAAATTAAATTCTAGTTTTGTAATGTTTTAAAAAATACGTAAATTAGTTATTGAAAATGATAAAAAAAACACAACCGATGCGTAACACCATGTTCGTTAAGTAGGTAATTATCTACGTATTATCTTATTGTTGATTGGTCAGTATAACCTAGGCAATGCGACGCCGGCCGGCCGGCGCCGGCGGTGAACTGAAGAAGAAGATGGCACGGCACTATCGTCTCTTTTTATCTCTACCGAGCCGCTAGGCTTGTTGAAAATATATCGATGTATCGACACAGTTCCACAGAATATAATGGAAATCAGCACAATCAATTGACCAGCGAAACAGATTTACAAATAATAGACAATACCTAATACAATATAGATCATAGATATGTTGAATATCATTAATCTGAGATCCAGTTACGATTTTTCCAGATACGAATTTAGTTAGATCGTGATATGCCGCTAATAATTAAAAAAATATCGTTTTTGATACGAATTTCGATATTGGTTATTTTGTATCGATGTATCGATATATCGAATCAAAATATATCGGCATAAAATATCGATATATCGATATATTTTCAACAAGCCTAAGCTTACCTCCCAAGTCAAACATCCGTTTACAAGATTTTGGGTTCATCCATTTATTACGATTACGATCGCTGAAGGGAACTATTTTACTCGAAAATACTATGGTTTGAGAACATAAGATTTTTGTTTTGGTTATTTTAAAATGAGCATATCTTTATTTGAAGAGCTTTTGAGTTCATTATCATCATGTCTACAAAAAAATTGCTGTCTCAGAGCGGACTAAAATGGCGGCACCAAGTTTGACGTAATATGGCAGGTATGAATCAGCAGCGATCATTCGTGCGAGCTCGCAGATATTTGCGATGCGATGCGAATTCGCAGTTGTGTGTGGCAACACATACAGGAGGACACACTAACTAATTATGTTACTGAGACCTTGATGTTAAATTACTTCTAGTACCTATTTGTTAGGCTATAATACCCCTTCCACACGACACAATTTGATTGCCAATCTGATTGCCGATTGAATTGGGTACAATCTGGTCGTCCGTCTACACATACACAACAAGATCGCCAATTTCAGTTTTATTTGTTGCCTCTGCTGAACGGACTTCTTTGTATTAGGATGCCTCTTACCAAGAAGCAAAAAATTGGATTAATCTTGGCTCTAACTACAAATGTAGATGAGAAAAAAAGAAAAAGAAGACTGTGGACAAAACAATGGTTATTAAAAAGAAAGCAATTGAGGCACTTAAATGTAGTTATATTATATTTAAGTGACTCAATTAATAAACTTAAATATAGTTATACTTAAAAAGTAATATTTTTAAAGAAAATATACTAGAAAAAATTCCACGCGGACCAGGCAGCAGACGGGACTCGAATCCGCACCCTTCGAAAACCTTTTAAAATATAACTGAGTTATATTTTCTTTAGATTTAAACATCAAGCAGTTACATGCTATAAAAATAATAAAAAATATAACCACAATTGCTATTTCTTCTTTCAAATGTTTAATACTTGTAAAAGTATTCATTTGACATTGTGGGTTACCTATAATGGGAAGAGATGGCGCTGCCTTGCAACTTAAGAATGGCTGGAAGAATTTCGACGCGGTCCGTGAGGGCCGCGGTAGCATAATTGGTCAGTGCATTCGCCCGGATTGCGAAGGGTGCGGGTTCGAGTTATATTTTCATTAGATTTAAACATCAAGCAATTACATGCTTAAAAAATAAAAATTATAAAAAAATATATATAATATTATTTCTTTTTTACCCCAGCATGGGCGCTATCATTGAGTAGAATATAAATTTAATTAAATGATTTTTTATTTTCAATAACAAATAACTGCCTGGTCCGCGTGGAATGTTTTCTAGTTATATTTTCTTTAGATTTAAACAGCAAGCAGTTACATGCTTTAAAAATAATAAAAATTATAACAGTAATATTTTTATCAATATTTTACCACTTATTCCGCAAAATCTCTAAGGAATTATGCCTTGCTTGTTTATTTTTTATATAATGGGTTAGACACATCCCCAAGGCATGGCAAGTCTTTACATATATCTAAAATCTCCTCCATTACTTCCCGTTCAGATCGAATAGACATAATATTGTCGTCATGTTGCTCCATCTTCTTCTCAAAAGACAAGTCAACGCACACACCCGCTCTGAACGCCACTTGCACAGTGACTACGTTAAAAAATTCGCCAGTTAGCGTTCACACCATCCAATTTGATTCGGCAATCCCGAATCGGGCGATACCGACCATCCAATGACTTTCAATTTCATATTTCCGTCCACACAACACAATTCGATTGTCAATCTAATCAAATTGGACGTAAAATTGTATCGTGTGGATGCCACTTAAGGCAGCGGAAGACGTGGGTTTCTGTCAGAAAACTGGACGGAGTTGAAACTTTTTCTAGTAAAATTTTCTTTACACTTGGAAATCTAGCAGTTCAATGCTTTAAATATTGTTTATGTATTTAAAGCATTCAACTGCTAGATATAAATAAAATATGTATATAATAAAACGCCAAAGGCTTTCCTCAAGACTTTAGTTTGTTGTAATGGTAATTAAAATTCAGTTGTGAAACCTATATATCTCAAAGTACACTAAGGTGTCGATTACAATTACCTAAACTTAAAATTTAAATACCTACAAATTCAATTGTAAGTTTAAATAATCATGCCAGAATCGACACCTATGCATCATTTATTTTCATAATTAACAACAACTCACTGATAGAAAATTCTCATGAACTAAAGTATCGGGTTCAATCGCCTAACGGGATCACTATGGCTTACATCACATGTCGCCGAAGGTTCTCAAATCCCTCGCGCTCTTTTTCTTGTTTTGCTAATAACAACACTAAAGATAAAAAGCGTACGGTATATGAAAACCTTGGACGACCAGAAATTACAAAATGAAATCGTTAGTGATAGCGATAGCAATTCCATTAGGCTATTGGCCCCGAGGGCAATATTACGTTATAGAAGCAAATTCTATTGTTAATATTTAATGAGTCATGTCTTTTAAGGCAGTGAGAGTAGCTGTTGGGGGACTACGCTCGCTATGGCAAAAATAAAATCAATTATCTATATTCATTCAAATTTAACGCATTGTCTTTTAAATCGTCCAAAACTTCTGTTCCGTTACATTGGTTAATGGACATTTTATTAGCTGTGGAGAAAAACTAGCAAAAATGGACAGAAGTGACGAGAAGGGCAGACACATTATCATAACAAATGAGTAATTTTTAAGACTTTTGTCTTCTAAATTCACTGTTTCTTTTACATATTATTAATTAGTAAAATATTCTTGAAAATTGTTAAGAAACTTTCATGACGATGATTACCTGCATATACTAGGTTTTAAATGAAACTCCTAATTTAATATAGTACTATAGTGATTTATTTGGTAATATATTAGAGGACAATTAATTATAAATGCAGTACGGAGACCACATTATTTTAAATCTTTACGGCATCTACCTCTACCAGCTACACTACATTTACTTGAATTATAAAAAAGCAACATATTAATTGATTTAACTGCATTAAAATTGTTTTTAGATAGATGAATCTGTAACATTCGCTTACAACAACCATGTATTAGATTATACATAAAAGTTCTATAAAATATATAAAATCATCATAAAATAACAATTTCAAATAACGCCAGCATTTCACACGACATTTAGAAATAAAATTTTAAATACGCAATTATAGCTTGAAAATTATACTTAATCTACGTACACAGAGTTTGAGTAAATTGTCCAAAATAACTTATTCATAAAATCAGTAAAAGACATGTACGTCACGGCTAAAGTTTAGCTTTACTTGTCATCTATAACGATCACCTACGAATTACTGAGTAGCGTTGACAATATCAACGAATTCCGGCTTCAGACTGGCTCCTCCGACTAAGAATCCGTCTATGTCTGGGCAGGCAGCAAGCTCCTTAGCCGTAGCTCCTGTTACCGAACCACCATATTGAATGCGGACTTTAGCCGCTACGTCAGCAGATGCGTTCGTGGACAGCCAGTTACGCAAAGAAGCATGCACATCCTGGGCCTACAAATAATATGAAAATAAATTATTTATTTATATGAATAAAAACAGAGGTCTAACAGTTTAATAGAATATATGTTCCTCTCTGATAACTTGGCTTGCTCCTGTTATTTGTATAGAAATTATAAAAGCCACTAAAACTCCAAAATTAATTTCTAAGTGTTTAAATTTATAATCAATGGAAAGAGCATGAAATTATTGTTACTATTGTTTATGAAAAAAAAAGTAATGCAAAAGACCTATTCATGAAGTTATTAACACTTTAAAAGATAATATGATTCCTAAACACTTACTTGTTGAGGAGTAGCCGATTTTCCAGTGCCAATAGCCCATACAGGTTCATAGGCAAGCACAACCTTGTCCCAGTTGCTGCCGATAGCAGGCAGAAGAGCCTTGGTTTGTCTGAAGACAACTTCCTCAGTTTTCCCAGCCTCTCTTTCGTCCAGTGTCTCGCCGATACAAGCAATCACCTTCAAGCCCGACTCTATTGCATGAGCAACCTGTAGAGAAAATATGGTATAAGATCGAGTAATAACCAAAAGTTACTACTGCACAAACAAATTGCTTATTGTTTACCATTCCAATCTTATATCTTTATGTACACATTCAGTTAAAAACCATTTATTAGTAAATATAATATATTTACTTTTTGTGCAACAAGATCATCCTTTTCTCCGAAGATAGTTCTTCTTTCAGAGTGTCCTAAAATCACCCAATCAGCTCCTACATCTTTAATCATGGCAGGTGATATCTCTCCTAAAACACATTAAAAAGGATTTAGTGTTAAACTTTTTATTATAGTAAATATGTAGTCTAATTAAATTTCATAAGCTAATGTACCTGTGAAAGCACCCTTAGGAACTTTCCAGCAATTTTGGGCAGCTACGCCGATGGTGTCTGGCACAATGCTTTTGACATAGGCCAAGTAAATAGCTGGTACTCCAATTACAACCTGTCAATTCAAAATAATAATAAATTTAACAGGATTATAGGGATAGGTAACTTAACAAAGGCTAGCATCACATCAATAAGTTGTTGGCCTATCACTAATAAATAAATATATGTATGGCATGATTCTCTGTAATATGTTTGAGAGACTTAAATGGATATTATACAATTATAAACAATGTGTTCAATGTATTTATAAATTACATCATTGTTAAATCAATGAAATTCAGTTTCATCATGACATGACAACTAAATGTTAATTTAAATACTACAAGAGATATATTATCAATGCTAACTAACCTCTACGTTTGGATCCAATGGGCCTTTCTTCAAGTTGTTAACAATCTCATTTATTTGGTTCTTATCCCCGTTCATCTTCCAGTTGCCACCAACAACAAATTTGCGGCCCATCTTGGTTTACTGCATGATGAAATAAATTATTAATAAAAACAAAGAAAGTATTAATGCAATAAAGGCAGATAAAATTTCTTTATAACCATAACAATATCTATGTTTTAGTTCTACTTTGGATAGACAGGGAAAAAGTTTTACAATTAGATTTTTGGACAGTCATATAAAAAAAAAGATTTGTTTCCTGATACAGTGTCTTTCAAAATACTATTTCTCTAAATCCATGACTTTTTATAATGACAGTTATAATATCATGTTGAAATTATCTTCATGCTGATACATGTGGTAATTTATGCTGAGAGCTTTAATAGCTATACTTTGTATATACTTACTGAATAGATCAATTTATAAAAAAATTGAGTCAAAAAACTCCACCCTGGCAAATGCCATAGGGGCATCGCCAATAATCAAAAAAAAGAAGACAAGGATTAATTTCTACAAATACTGTTTTCTTGTTATAAGAAAACTTGCTCAAAAGCTCCTTCTAGTATTGACCAAAAGGAATGGAACTACCTATGCAACTTCCTACTGTGGATACACTATACTATTAAGGGCTGATTTCTCGAACACTGGATAGATTTATCTGTCTGATATCATATTAAACAGACAAAGTAAAGAGTTAAGTTGTGTTCATTGGTATAATGTGACAGATGACATATCTCTGTATTTGATTGAACAATTGAGATTTATCAGTTTTGAAAATTTGGTCCTAAGTCAAATAAAAAGGTGATAATTTATAAACTAACTAATGCATGTAAAATTAGTTTTTTAAATTAAAATTAATTAAAAATATTACTTAGTTATTTGGCCTGGTACCTACATGCAGAAAATATATTCATTTTTTTATAGCTGAATATTAAAATGAATAAAATGACTATTACTTTCATTAGAGGATACCTACCACAGGAAATTAACTTCGATAAATTGTTAGCAGTTATTGAATAGATACCTATTTGGGTAAAAAAATATGTTTTAGGATAAAGGACATTATTCATTGCAAGGGTTTAATCTTATCATGAGTTTTAATTAATCTAACTTTATAATATCATTAGGTAAGCCGGTCAAAGTAGGTAACAGAAAAAAAGCCTTACTACTTCACAGACTGGATTGGTGCTTCACTTTCGCCTTTCAAATAAGGACTGTTACTGTTAATTAATTAAACAATGTTAACTGAGTGAATTACTTCTATCACTGAGCTGCTAAAATTCCAAGAAAGAATCAGTCAGCGAAATCGACAAAATCACATTCAGCAAAAGAGTTAATTTTAAATTACCACTTCCTTACGAATTACTAACCGATAGACGATTGTGATAGGTTCTTCAAAAACTAGAACCTAATATCAACCAGAGCAACGAATCAGTAGTGAGGAATATCTGATGTCACTAAAATTCTGTTGTAGAAAACACACTGTTTAAGAATGACCTTTTTGACATTGAAATTCCATTTTGTGTCGTTTTACAAAGAATTCTATAGTCATATTGTCTTGTCTATGATCCTTAGTATTCATTAAACCTGAAAAATGTATACTTATCTATGCATTTTCTATGTATTTTTCAATAAAAAGCGGTTATCATTTCGGAAATAAAACAAATGAAAGCTAGGACTTGTACAAAAAAAAATAAGGATGTATAGACTTAGTATGTTTTGACTCCCTTTATAGAAATTACACTGGGCCGATTCTGGCATGTTTTTCTAACTTAAATAAAATTTGTTGTCAAATTTTATTTAAGTTTTTCTTCTTCATTTTGTATAGAGCCTGACAAGGATTGTCAATTTTAATTTCAAATTTGGAGAAGCATACCAGAATCGGTCCCATTAACACATAAAACGAAGTAATGTTTCACTTTGACATCCCCTTGGCCTTGTGGACCCTCTGAGCATGGATTGGACCCAATCTGTGGCATTCTGTCTGAAATCATCTCTTTTAATCTATAGTACTCGTTGTTTGTTTGGGTTTTTGGTTTAATTTGATTTAATTTAAATAGTAGTCGTTATGAAAGCAAAATAATTACCTCAACTAGCTATCTAATGTATAATAAGTTTCTGCTAACATGGATATTCGAGACAATCTTACCTGTTTGTTAAAAACACGAAAACAAAGTCAACTTGATACAGGGAAGGGGCAAAAAAGTGTTAGAGATTATTTTGCTCCAAGGTAAGCAATGTAGCATTTATTGATATGAAATATAAAAAAAAATCTACACATTGTTATTGCTTGTGCTAATTTTATTCGTATTGACTACTTTTATAAACTTAGCTTTAAACTAATCTAGAATTTCACACATACTTCAGGGATAATGAGAATAAACCGAAAAAGTTTGTATGTAAAACAACCCAAGTTAATTTGGACGGTTGCATGTCAGTTGGTGATTTAAGTGGAGATGTGTCTACTGAAAACTATTGGAAAGTGGTGGCTGAAAAGAGAAGGTAACCTTAAATAAAAAATATTATTAATTCAACATGGTTTTGGATGTCAAGTATTAGTACATAATATGTCCATCCGTTTACCCACGTTTTTCTTTCCTTCATTAAATTAAGATAGGAGGATATCCCGTAATCCAAATAAATGAGTTAAAACTGAAAAAATCGTAAATATGCACCAACTAATTGTCAAAACTGCAATGTATATGAATGATGTACCAAAGTTGCATGTATGAAAAGAGATTAAAAAAGGGGTTTTTACTGAAACAGGTACATAGATCTATTTTATTTTCAGAATTGCTTTAGATGAAGCATTGACTGAGAATGAACAGTTATGGAAACTTCACAGTACCTTAACTGAAGAAAATACTCAGAATAGAAAACTGCTTGAAGAAGCCAATAGTTTTATTGAGGTTATCAAGGTAGGAATTGACCATAAACTCTAGAATACATACTCATGAGAAAATGTGTCAACAAACAACTGGATTGCCTTAAAATAGTTTAATGCATAAGATAGTGTTTTCTAACCCATCCACAAGAAACAAGTCCTAAACAAGTTTTAAACAAAACTTGTAGCATACTTGTTGTAGTTGTTTAAAACATTCTTTTGTTTACACTGCGTAGACAGCTAGTATTTGACAAGTATAAATCACTTATTTACTTAACATATTTTGTTTATCCAACAAGTTTTATATAAGTATTGTTTACTACATGTTTTATACATGTATATAAGTATGAACAAAAAATGAAGACATTGTATGAAATATCTTAAATACCTTGGTGTCAACGTAGGGTTAGAATGAATTTATGATCATTTATGTTGACCTTATGTTTATTTTCAGGAGTTAACACAAGATACAGAAACACAGGGAGAGTGAGATTACTGTTTGAGAGTTGTATTGTGATGCAACTACATATATACTAGCTACTATGTTTAATATTATCACATAAAATAAGTGTTAACATACTTTTTAAATGAGCAATTAGCTGTTCTTAAGCATTAGACTGATCAACATGTTTTTATAAAAAATAAACATTAAATATTTACTTGTAATTTCAAAAGCTTTTTTTTTCATTTTGCCGCACTTAATCCATATCAGATAAGATTGAAACTGCTAAAGGTATCATTCCAGGACGGGCTACAGACTGCAAATTGCAATAACACTTGTTTCTATAAATATATATGATATTCAGACCCGTCTTTCCCAGTGGGCACTTTGGGCAAGTGCCCAGGGCCCCGCGAACAATAGGGGCCTCCCTCAGATCTAATATAAGTCCCTAGTTTGTAGGGGACTAAACTACAAAACGAATGCGGGAGGGTCAGTGGCTCCGTGCGCGGGCAACGGGAAGCAGTACTGCGCTGACATTCGAGGAGAGAGCGCTGCCGCTCCCGACACGATACCGCCGTGAATGCGAGCATTTTAATGTTATGTTGAAATAGTTAATAGAGGTCGAGTAATGCGGCTCATTCTAAAATGAGCCTTATGCAGTCCGGCGTAAGAGAGAAAGTGCAACGACATCTGCACTTGTTTACAAGTTATGCGCGTTACTTGCGTAGGTATAAGTAGGTACCTACTTCGTACTCGCGGGTGCTAGCTAATTCTCAATTAAACAGGTACTTTCTAGAATGCGTCGATTGGCCTATATAAGCGCCATCGGCGCCGCGCAGAGATAGTTGAGTTTCAACAGCGATTTCGGAGCGAATCCATAGGAGATCAAAGGGCAACAAAAGTGTTCAAGTGCGATAGTTTAAAGACAATATAGTGAAATACAGTGTTTAGTGAGTGTGTTGTGATTAACATTGTGTGTTAACTGTGTGGTGAATAATGTACTGTCAAGGGTGAACTGGCATATAATTTCGAACCCCATCCCGACACGTAACAACGGGTGACAGAAGTGACATGCCAGTCACACCACGTGACGGAAGTGAAGGCGTACGCACTCGACGGCAGGCCGTAATGGACCATTCGCGGGAGTCTGGAGCAGCAGCTGGTATATCGCGCTTATGCGTTCTGTAAGACATCCATAGAAGACATTGTAGTTCAAGCTTTTGTGGATGGTATAAGAGACCACGAAGTCAGAGCGGCCGTGCGTTTGGGACATCATACGACTTTAGAAACCGCTTTAGCACACGCGCTGGAGGTAACGCAGTGACTACAAGACGCACAGAGTGCGAGAAGTTGTTGCAGCAGTCAAGCCTCGAGGTGTACCAATGTGCTATGGATGTGGAGAACAAGGGCACATCAGGATTAACTGTCCGGTCCAGCGGAGAAACCGGACAATGGCAACCGCTACTCAGGTTGATTGTGGCGTGGACTCGGTTGCAGAGCGGGCACGAGTTGGACGTCGTTTAGCCCCCACAGTAGGAGTGTCACAGGCATGTGATAGAAATAGTCCCGTAACCACAAGAGAAATAAACGGCAAGCCTGTACAACTTACATTTGACACTGGGGCCTCATGACATGGGACTGTATACTCGGACTGGACTTCTTGCGATCCAGTGTGTGGTGGATATCGCCTGAGGAGTATTGAATTTTCCGGATCAAGAAATATTTCTAGAAGGAAACCCTCCACCAGTCTACAACGTCAGAACGGTTACCCTACCAGCGAGGTCAGAGACATTGTTAGAAGTCAAGTTTCCGGAAGGGGCGTCACCGAATCGATGTGTCGTGGTAGAAGATAGCGGGAGTCACCCTAGTTGGATCACGGCAGCAATGATGCTCGGGACGAGCATGTCTAAGAGGGGGCAGTGTCACAAGCGCTCTCGAAACGTAACCGCGAAAGTGCTAGAGATCGAATTTGTCAGATCACCGCGGGTCGCGATAAAGGTCGAGTAATGCGGCTCATTCCAAAATGAGCCTTATGCAGTGCGACGTAAGGCACCTTCACCATACATGACATCACTGGTATTATATGAACAGTGCAAGTCGAGTCGAGCCGTTTATAGCACACGTTTAAATCCGTTTAAAACACATGATTAAAGACAACACTTAGCAAGTAAAATTTCACTAATTTGGATTTTTATAAACTACATAGGTACCACAATCAATAAATTAGCATACGAATCCGTTATGCGAATGCGCGCGAAATACCTAGTAAATGACCTCAGTTGACTTATCAGACCGACCGACCGCCACCGCGCGCCGCTTGGCGAAATATGATTGGTCGAAAACTTCAAGCGAAACGAAACCGTAAGGTTTGACACCACACATGACAAATAAAGATTGCAGGCTATCTAAGATCGGCTTTTAAGCGCTGTTAATTCGACGAGTCGTTGCATGTGTAGTAATATGTATGTGTGCGTGAAGTGCTTACAATTTATTTATTCGAATTCACAGTAAATATTAGCGGCTTATGCAGCCTACTACCGCGGCGTGGAACTGTGTGCGCGATTTTAAATACATTGCGTATTTTGTATCCAGAATTTTGAAGAATAATTTTACACAGCGCGCAATTTAATTATGTCGCTTGCATTAACGTTTTTATACGTCAATGTTCGCTTGTGCTAGAATGTATTAGGGTACGGCCACAGTGCACTCAGATTCAGATTCAGACTCAGAAAACAAGCGTGAGAAATAAACAGTGTAGTTAAAGCAGCGTGGCCATAGTGGCAGCAGACAACTGGTTGCCCGCGCAGGTTTCGGAGTCAGACACTTTACCGGAATGTCTAGGTCATTCAGATTCTGAATTCACCAGCGCCGCTCGGACTGCAGGTAGGGTTGCCAACCCTCCTATAAAATATAGTATCCTACTATATTACGGGATCAAATACTGGTGTGTTGAAATTTTAAGTTCCTAAAAGCAAACATATATAAAGTCTTATAATAAACAGAACTGCTTAATTATTAGTCATTCATTAGGTATCTATGTTTATAATTTTTAGTGATAATATTTACACTAAAATTTTAAAGTTTAAGCTAGATATGCAAAACTCATTACAGTTTGTCTATAAAGTCGTGACATTAATGTTTGTGGAACTAACATTATTCATGTGTCTGGCAACACCAAACTTATGTACTTCAGCTGTCATCGAGTTTCAGTTGTGGAACAGTTTTCCTTTTGTATTTTTTATTGTTTGGATTAAACTGTAATAAATTAAGACGAAACTACGCAGAAAGGTATAAAAATGAGTAAAGTAAATCGGAGTGGCACGCGGGAAGTGATTTTTAAAGTTTTCCAGCGATGTTTCGAAGACTTCCAAGCTGGACGAATTTTTTGGGATTTGGACGATGTTTATGGGCGAACAGCATCTATGACGGGTATGTAATCGTGTAACTATTTGTTTGTAATCTGCCTGAAGTTACAAATTTACTCAATTTACGATTTTGAGACCAAAAAAGGCATTGTTTACATTGCACATTTTTAGGTTAGATTGACATTGTAAATAGGTAATATTGTAGTACGACCATTTCTTTTGATACGTTATTATGGTTCAACTCGGTCAGGTTTTCTACCAATTTTGAATTAATTGCTTCATGTCACTAAGTTATTGTTTCTATTCCGTTACATATTGTTTACTTTTTTTCAGGAAAATCAGAGAGTCGGATAGTCAACGAAGGTTTTAAGAATGATGGAAAGTTTGAAACTCCTGGGAAAACAGGCAAGGCTGACCAAAGAAAGAAATGGTCACATAAAGAACCATGGCCAGATGCTTTTAGTGAAGATACCTATCACTAATTTTATTAACTGCACATTTACAAATTGTTTCTCTAAATAAACTTTTATATACTATAAAATGATTTTTAGTATTATTTTCTTAACAAGTGTGTTAAAAAACGTCGTATGATGATACTTGTGTGTATTGATGATTACCTAACGGCTCTGGTCTCAATGGCACCTCAGCGGTAATCACCAACATTACACACTTTTACACTATAAAGTACTATTTTATCTATAATAATTTTATTCTGATTCAATTAAATATGCTTGGCTTAACTTTTAATAAGCATAGGTACCTACTATATATAAAACAGAAACAAAATACCACTGTATAGTGTGTCTTATTAATTACCTATTGTACTTGAATGAACTGCTAGTATCAAAATCATTTTGGTCCGACTGTAAAGGGTTGCTACATGCATACTAGTGGCGCCATCATTTAATGTCACGACTTTATAGACAAACTTGTAAACGTTTCCAAAAAGTAGAAGGATCTTAATTCGTCAGTATATATAATTTACAATGGTGTCGATTCTAGCATGTTTCACTAAACTGTACTTAAATTTGACAGCAGTATATCCTTGTCATTCTCTACACAGAATGAAAAGGAGAGGCTGGTGTTAAATTTAGTTTTAAGTTTAGAGAATCACGCCAGAATTGGGCCCAATGTTGTTTGTCCATATTTCCGATAATCAATCGATGGTGATATTGCTATATAATATTTAGAGGTGTCATAATTATTATAGCAGAAATAATGGTGTCGATTCTAGCGTGATTCTCTAAACTTAAAACTAAATTTAACATCAGTCTCTCCTTTTCATTCTGTATAGAGAGTGACAAGGATACACTGGTTTCGATTCTGGCATGATTCTCTAAAGCTAAACTTAAATTTGACAGCAGTGTATCCTTGTCATTCTCTATACAGAATGAAAAGGACAGACTGATGTTAAATTTAGTTTTAAGATTAGAGAATCCTGCCAGAATCGACACCATTGTTGTTAAATTTAAGTTTAGATTTGGAAAATCTTGCCAGAATCGACACTACTGAATTGAAATGGGCTTCACACTACCCAATTTTAAGGGCCCGATCGGAAGGGCGGGCGTGGCACCTAGCTTAAAGGTGGTAGCAATTTTACACCGCGCTGCCGGTCGCCCTAGATCGGATCCCCACATTACACTACCCTTAGTCAGTGTAAGGGTAAAATGGGTTGTATAAAACGGGCTTAATTACTTTTACTACTTTAGTCTGTGAATTACTTACACGTAGACATTTACTGTTTTTTTGGAAGGTGTCAATGTGGTGTGTGTCGGTTTGTTTACTTCAAGAATAGTTCTAAGTTATTACTTTTGTAGCATAAATCTAAATAAATCGTAGTTAAGTGAAAAGACTAAGTCATGCAGGTCTCATTCTTGTGGAAGGTAATATTGTTTGTTGGTAATAAATCATTAAAGTAACAGCGAATATCACAATACCGGTGATTTTTGAATGAGGTTACAACACAGAATTTCATCTTTTGTTAAAATCATTTATTGCAGTGTCTTAGCTTATTTTGAGAACCAATTTATAATACTAATGAAGATGTGTTTTATATCATTTTTATGATCCTTCCGTGATCATCCCTATGTCTTTTCCAACTATGCCATTTGGTATATTTACATTTTGTGTTTTCAGGTATTACTACCTTTGTTCCTCATTTTAGTACAAATATCAGTACAAGCGAAGAAGCAAAAAACAACAGCGGTTACAGATATTACGGATTTAAAAGAATTTAAGAAATTACTGCGGACTAAGACCAATGTTATGATACTGTATGTCAATGTTCCTAAATCATCACAGTTCGTAACAGATGTTTTCAGAGAGACTGCAGACGCGATGAAAGGTCAAGCTACTTTAGCCATAATAGAGTGTAGTAATAGGTAAGACTAATTTCATCCTAAAAGGCAAGAATTTGCATTCAAGTATAATTATTATTTCTTGTCTCTTTTTTATTTTACAGTGATGGTAAAAAATTGTGTAAGAAATTGAAAGTATCCACAGAAAAAGCATATTACATTAAGCACTATAAGGATGGAGATTTCCACAAGGATTATGACAGAGCGGAGACAGTCAGCTCAATGTCAAACTTTCTAAGGGATCCAACTGGAGACTTGCCATGGGAAGAAGATCCTGAAGCCTCAGACATCTTTCATTTGTCTGATGCAGAGGTAAAGTTATAACTTTAGGATTAAATTGCCTTTGGTAGTGTTATTTGTTAAGTCTTTGTTTACCCAGATGTTCATTAAGGTAATCTTTGTATATTAACTCAGACAACCCTGATTTTTTTCTAAATATCTTTGGATTTAACTTAAGTTTTTACTTGAATATGTATTAAAAACATGTAAAAAATTACGAAATAAAAATATTGATAATGCAATTTTCAGGAAAATAGCTGTCCTATTTTAAGTAATACCAGTGGCGGACTAGCAGGGGGGCGGAAGGGGCGGCCCGCCCCGGGCCTCCGATCTTGGGGGGCCCCCAAATGCCTCTGCGTTCCCCAGATCAAATACTAAACAAGACTTTAAAAATGTACTTAGGTACTAAGCATAATAATACATAATTTCATCAAGATCAAAACACTACAGTAATCTAGACTTTTTACGCGATACTAATATTTATTTAACTTTGCTGAACGCGTCCAATACGCTGGGGAAATTCTCGTCTTTGTAGCGGGTACTTCCTCAGGAATCCCTGAATGAATGAAGTGCAAATAATTTACTCTTGTACACATACATTTACATTCACTACATTCTATTTAAGTCTAACAATATTTGCGGTCTCCAAAAATGACTCTAGATACAGGAATCACCAAACTAAACGCCTAAAATAAGTATTTAGGTGGTTCATCAACATCAAGAAACCAGGAAAAGTGAAGGTAAAAAGAATGATGCCAGGTGAATCAGCTTGTGATGCTGGATTATCAATTCAAGAAGATATACGGCGGTCAATGTAGGAATGCGTAGACCGCTTTATACAAGAATTTTCGAATTGGGCTATTAAACAAATCAAAAATATTTTCCAAATTATTGAAACCAAGTTTATGCTAGAAGCTTCAGATGACGTTCTGGCTGTAGCAGTTGACAATCTGATACAAAGTTATGGTGAATTTGACAAGATTGGTTCTAACGAAATAAACATAAGAATCTACATTTTTTTAAAGCTGGTGGCCTCATTCAGCTGTGCCGCCCAGGGCCTCTGACGGGGGCTTAGTCCGCCACTGACTAATACACTAATAATTTTACTTGATAATGAAGATGAATTTTGAAATACACACATTCTCCCTTATCACAATTTTTGTAGTCAGACTTTATGACCCTGGTTACAATGGGTTTGATTTAATCATGTAACACCTAATATAATTCGGATTTGTTCAACTCCCCATTTGCTCTTGTCGGGTGTGTAGGGATGGTCTTCTCTATCTCTCTCATCTCAGAAGAATGAAAATGTCATAAAAAGACTGGACTATGTTTGCACCACAATCTTATTGTGGATCTTACATCTCAGATCACAGTTGTCTTGTTTCTCTGTGACACCTAGTTACGGCTCTATCTAGGAAACATACCTAAGATCCAGGCCATGAATCCATAACAAATTTCTGGTCTATCCTAATATGTTTTGCTCAACTTTCTTGTTTACTGTGGATCTCATAAGAATGCTCGGGGTCACAAAACGAGCAATGGAGGGAGTACTCTCTTCACAAAATACAAATGAGAACTAAACTAACCTCTTTTACTCTGCTGAAGTGGCAATGGGCGGGTACGTACGGCCGTTGGGGCGGAAAGGTTCTTCAATGGTGACCATGCACTGATGCTCAGTGAGCAGCACCGCCAGATCGACCAACAATCTAGTGAAGGTTGTGGGAAGCCAATGTGGCGAAGAACCCCAGTGGAGATCCTTGGGGAAATCCTATGTTTGGCGATTGGTATCGTACTCTGGGCTGACATGATGAAGATGACTACCAGAGAAATTATGTCTTGAAAAATATTATGAACTTCATTCCAATCGTAGATGTTTGGTAGCTTTATTTTTTAAGTTCTTCGGCATTTATCCTCAATCCGAGGTAAAAATTAAGGATAATATGTTTCATTGCAAATTATTCAGTATATCATTACCCTCTTATCCTTCTTCTTTGTCAGTAGTACCGTCAGAATCAACACGAGTTCTAAGAATGTATTCTTCATCATGAGAGATGATCCGCATCATAAATACATGGCGATATACATATCATGCTCGCTCCTAATCATTAGCGATGTGTTGAAAAATTATATGTGCTGCTAATCTGTAATAACGATTTGTCCCTTATTAGCCTACTGTCCTTAATGAAGTATAGCAAAAGTTTAATGTAGTTTGTATACAATAAATTTATCACAAACTTTGTACATACCTTATAAAAATACTAGCTGACCCAGCGAACTTCGTACCGCCCTAAAAAAATAGGGGTTGTCCAGCGGACAAAATTGTGAATCTAAACCATTCTCAGATCCCCTTGAAAATTTCATCAAAATCGGTCCAGTCGTTTAAGAGAAGTTCAGTGACATACACACTCACAGAAGAATTGTATATATAAAGATTAATGCAATAATACCGTATGTTGTTTTGGTTGAGAAAATAGTCTTAATCCATTTTCAACAAATGTTGATTTCATTTGGTCTGCTTTTATATCTTGCAGGCATTAACGAAATTTCTGAAGAAGAGTGCTGCTGCCTTCAAGAAGTCAATGATAATGTTCTATGCCCCTTGGTGCGGTTACTGCAAAACTTTAAAGCCAGAGTATGTAGAAGCTGCAGCTGATTTGAAGGTGAGAAAAATCACTTTAAATTAAACATATGATTATTTAATAGCTTAATATGTTAAAGTAATTTTTGTAAGTCGAATTTGAACCTCAACACCTTACTTGCATATAAAAAAAGATGCTTCTCGATGTGGTGATGAATGATAAGAATAAATTTTGGTCTGTAATACAATATAACAATTATTTATTCAGGGTGAAGCATTACTAGCAGCAATTGATGTGGCTAAACCTGGAAATTCAAAAATAAGACAGCTCTATAACATAACAGGTTTTCCCACACTTCTGTATTATGAGTAAGTACATTTTTACATGTCTTATTTTTTTTTTATCTGAATGAATCCAATTCAATTATTGAACTTTTTTTTTAGGAAAGGTCAGCTCCGTTTCCCTTATAATGGGGACAATAAAAAGCAGGCTATTGTAGATTTTATGAGAGATCCAACTGCACACTTACAAAACAAGAAGAAAGAAAGTGTTGATGAAAGTTGGTCCCCTGATACTGATGTTGTGCATTTATCAGGTTCGGCAATTTTTTATTTTTATACATTGTAAGATTCTAAGATAGGACATAATTATAATTTACTAAAATAATAAAATTAATTATTATAATTTACAATAGTCTGTGTTAATAACACAACAATATGTTGATAAGGTTTATGGATTCTTTAACAATCTCTTATAAGCAAGTTTGAATCACCTAAAAAGAGTACTCTGTCACCAAAATACTAACTGTCACTGTCATCTTATATTTCCTCCTGCTATGTCAACTATTGTGGTAAACAAAAACAAGCCAAATTAAAGAAGAGGAAATCAAATACCTACTTGATGTTTACAAATACTTCAAATTATGTTTCTGCTTCGTTTGCTTAGGCAAAAGTTATATTCAAGTGCGTAATTAATACAAATTATTAAAAAATATTGATATTGCATGTACATTCATTGATACTATTTAATTTCATGTACGCATTCATACTTATTATTTAGAATTATCCAGGGCTCCAAACTGTTGACTATAATATTCATAAAACCTAAGTGTGTGAGGGGTGCTTTCTAGCTCAGTGCAAGTTTAACATAAAACAACTCGAAAGAAAGTTGATTCCGTTATGAAAAGTTTATAGGGTTTATTTATTTATTTATTTTTAAGCTTTATTGACCAAAATATATAACATTGGTGCAAAAGGCGGACTTAATGCTAAAAGCATTCTCTCCCAGTCAACCTTTATTCATTATGTAACCATATCTATACCAAAATGAATTATGACAATAAAGTTTATTCAAAATGACCTCCGTGATTTTGAAGACAGGCCTTCAATCTACGCGGCCAGTCATCTATCGCAGCACGAACGAGGTTCATGTCAATATCGGCGGCTGCCATAATCAAGGATGTCTTGAGTGACTCCAAATTGGGATGAGGCTTTGAGCACACCTTTTCCTCCAAGTGTTGCCATATCTTGTAATCTAACGGACTCAAATCTGGACTGGAGGAGGGTTAGTCTTCGTGCCGGATGAAGTCGATTTCACGCGCCGCCAGCCAGTCTTGTGTGCTCTTCGCTCTATTAGCTGGCGCCGAATCTTGTTGGAATACCCAGTGCCTGTTATTGAACATGGTATGAGAAACAGGTTCCACAAGGTTCGTCAGGACTGTATTTTGATACACAACTGCATTCGTTTTTACACCTTTCTCACAAAAATGTACCTCTGTTAAGCCCTAATAAGAAACTCCCAACAATACCATGAGCGAGGATGGAAAATGACCTCGTTGGACACGCGAAATACGGTTGCTCGCTTATTCACTACTGTGTGCGTACACCTTATCATTTTGTTTGTTGTAGCTCTCCTCTACGGTAAAAATTTTTTCATCCGAAAAAAGAATTTCCCAATATTTTTTTCCCGCGTACCGCTTCAACAAAGCGCGGCATCTCTTCAGTCTCAGGTCCATTAGACGAGCATTCAAACGATGTCCTGTTTTTCTTCGATATGCCCGAAGCCCTAAGTCTTCATTTAACACCCTTTTCACCGTGGTTCTGCTTAACCCCATCTGAAAGGCCAACAGTTTCTGTTTAAGTTTGGGATTTCTTTGAATTCGCGCCTTCACAGCTTTTATCACTGCTGGAGTCCTAACAGACCGAGGGCGACCACTTCTTGACCTGTCATCTACAGTCTGTCATTTTGCGTCAGTCCCTTTGCAACTGGAGACATGTTTTCATACATTAATTAACGCTTAATACGATTCGTCATCCCGTTTAATACGTCTAAATCGCCCACGCTAACGTACCACACATATTACCACTTGATAACACACAAGAAGAGGCCCTAAGTGATCATGCTGCCGCTATGTAACTACTTTGAATCAAAGGGAAGACACACTGCAAAATTTAAATTATGTTGAAAATCTTGTAATTGCTAATGCCTTAAAATCTTTTTGTCAAACTAAAATAAGTGATAAAATTTAATAACGTAATAATAATACGATACATGTGTTATAACGTACATAATTCTTAAATTAACATTTAATACCTACATTCTAAATTTCGCTGTACGGTGCGACCGTACATTTTTGCAAGTCCGCAGTTTAATTAGGTCGGTGCAATTTACGCCATTTACATGATTTAAAGAATAATTACGTTTTCACCTATTACACGGCGGACGTGTACTCAATATCAATTATATCATTAATTTAGTATTACCAAATTAGACATCAAATCAATAAACTATAAAATTATATCAACTGTTTCTATTTATAATCAACACATCTAAAGGTGTCCCGTACATCTTTATTCGCAATCGCGCATAATATGCTTTCCCGCTTAAGACGCGTTTTTGATTGAATCCCTGTGAAATCGTATTAAACGGTTTTTACTGTAATATATAATAAAAAACAAATAGTACAAATTGAATCTCCTCAGATTGATATAGTAGACTCCAATATAATACATTAAATTCAAATTTACATATGCACTATTTGAAATTACAAGTAGCACAAACGTAGATAACGATCTAGGAGCATACTACGCATATGTCCTAGCTAAAATATGGAGTCATGCTTTGGGTAAACAGCGTTAATGCATGGCAGCTGTTTATACTTCAAAAGAAATGTCTTTGAATCTTTGCTCTAATTGAAAATACTAACTTTACCATCGCGTACATAATAGATATTTGCTCCCTCATTTTTAAACATCGCAATAAGTTTATCTGTGTTCACAAAACATATAATATTAGCACTCGAAACATGAAGAGGCTATTTATAGCCTTCACTCATAAAGAAGCTAAACACCAGCCCTTATCACATGGCTATTAAAATATTTAATAAATTACCATCACTAATACGGAATGAGCAAGAACTGTCATAGGAAATTAAAAAATATTTAATTGACTAATGCTTTTATTCTGTCGAAGAATACCTCAATAAATGATAATAATAATTTATCTTTTTTCTGTATATTGCTGATTGAATGATAGAATCTTCAGACCCAAATTAAATTGAATACAATTTTACAATGTCGTAATAATAAATTTATAATTATCTATTATTTGCTGTATTTATACCTGTACAGGGTGTTTAAGTCATAAGATGCTATGTATTATGTTTAAGAACTAAATGTAAACACATTACCCCTTATTAATAAACGAAGAGTAAGTTTGGATTAGTTAATCTATGTTTTGTCTCTGTTCATTGAATTACTACTGGCACTTGAGTGACATGTACAAAACACGGCGTAACTAGTCTAAACTTATTCCTCGTTTATTAATAAGTGTGATAGTTTGCAACTAAACAGAGTTTTGAGTTTGAGTTACTAAGCTCATAGACAATAGGGTATTTGACAGTATTAAAAATAAAGTGCCAGTTGTTAGCATCTGTGTTTAGAATGAATATTGGCAGGGGTTTTTACTATTTTTACAAAATAAAATATTCCATAATTTTACTAAAAACCCACGAAAAAGATAATAGTTTTCTTATCTGTTGTCTCGTTACCCAAAACGCTTTGGATTGGAGGAGCCTAAAATGACGTCACAAGCAAGTAAACTTCCGGTTAAAGAGACATTGCATTGTGTCGTTTGACGTTTTAATAACAGTCGTGTGACGTCACACACTAGTAAGACGCCATATTGTGCAGAGAAACGTTTACGCGGCAACTTGAAAATGGAGTTTTTGATTTGGTTATTTTTACTCAAATACACAACAGAATGATGAATATCCACTTTTTACGGACTCCATAAACATTAGTCAATAACGTGAGATCGTTTTCTAAAACTTGTCAAATACCCTATTAATTACTATCGTTTTTTTTTATCTGGTTATAACAAATTGATTATTTCCGATTAAGCTGAGACATTCGACAGCACGTTGGCAAAGGCTGAGCACGCACTGGTCGTGTTCTATGCACCCTGGTGTGGTCACTGCAAGAGGATCAAGCCCGAATTTGAAAAGGCTGCTTCGAAGATCAAAGCGGAAAAGGTAAATAATGTTAGCTCTTGAATCAATTGAAATGTCAAATAATTTTCTTTGTGATGGGACGCGAGCAAAATAATAATTTTGTCATTTGCTCGTAAATATGCCACAAACACGCAATGTTTGTGTTGTGCTTGTACTAATAACAATAGTTGGCCTACCTATTATACTAGATGATAGTTTTATAAAGCAGCTGCGTTGCGCTATTTCAATTTAGAGTCCTTTTACAAAATTGCACCGCTACCGTACTAATCGGCGCGTAGGTAGATTTGCACTAGTATATATTGCATTTTACGGGTGATGTATATTCTTATAAAATAATTATTAATGAACTAATTATAAAAATATATAGATATTTCAGTAGTTCACTGATGGTAGATTAGTTTTATGAAAGTTTTTGATAGTAATTCTATTTAGTCAATATCATAATACGAGGTAAACCTGCATTATTTTTTGGGAAAACTCACGGAGGTTAGAGGTTTTTTTTGATAATTAATGAGATAGAAAAACAAAATTCTAATACATTATGTTACAACAAAGACATATTTCTGATGTCGTAGTAATTAATTTGATCTAATTTATTGAACATTATTGAGAGATTCAGGCGTTTGAAGTTGTGCATATTATCGTTTTTCTGTAATCTAGCTACAGTAGAACGACCAGTACAAAAAAAGGAAATTAGTTTTTGCAAATATTCTACATTAACTTTCAATAGGAAGAATAATTCTACTGTTAACTTCTATTGGAAATAGTCAAAATCTTTGCTAAGGGGGTAAATAAGGCGCTCAAAAATTACGACGTTTTGAAAAAAATGTGAAAGGGCTCTTAAGTTATTGGTTTTAGTTATGTATCTCATTTTAAGGGAACTGTCTGTGTAATTCGTACGAGAAATACAAATTCTTAAAACCTTAATAGTTTAAAAGAATCGCTACATTGTTGCCGGGTATTCATTATCATCAACATCATCAGCCCATTAATGTCCCCACTGCTGGGGCACAGGCCTTCCCTATGGATGCAATAGGGAGTTTGGGCCATGACCCACCACCAATGCGGATTGGTGGGTGCTAACGACTGCAGATGCAGCCAGGACCAATGGCTTAACGTGCCTTCCGAAGCACGGAGGAGCTCGAGATAGTAATTTTTGGTCACCCATCCAATGACCGACCACTGCGAAAGTTGCTTAAGTTCAACGATCGCAGCCGAACGCGCTAACCACTTGCGCCATCGAGCTCCAGCCGGGTATTGTTTTACTTTAATTTAATATAATATTATTTTGTGCGCTTTGCTACTTGTATATATTATGATACATTTTGATACCGTCGTCTCTTTTAACCCGAAAATCCGCAGTGTCGTGACGTAATGCGCTGCAGTCATATTTACCAAAAAATATTATTAAATTGTATTTTTTTTAGATAATCGGTGTGCTGGCTGCCGTTGACGCTACTAAGCATCCGGACTTGGCCTCTCGTTTCGGCGTCAAAGGTTATCCGACTCTGAAATATTTCAAAAAAGGTGTCTATAAGTACGATGCCGGCCATGCCAGGCAAGAGGAAGAAATTATTAGTTTTATCAAGGTGAGTGGGTTTCTTCCGTGTCTAATATAAGCATTAAGCCAATGTTTCAAGAAGCATTGTTCATTTTTACTGTATAGAGAATGACAAGGATACTGTTGACAAATTTAAGTTTAGGTTTGGAGAATCATGCCAGAATTGACACCATTGTGGTGGTAATGATAAAAAAATCTGCACAGCTCCTGTTCACTAGTTCATTAACGCTTCGGTCATCAAATTCTTTTGTAAATTGCATATCATATATACAAAACAGTTAATTAGCCTAACTGAGACCACACAAGTACATTAATAAACTTAAAATTTTAAGATCTGAAACCGCTTACTTCCTTAACTCGAAGAAATCAAAGCTCATTTAAAGTCCCCTTGCGTGCTAATAGCTTGTCTAATTCTATTAGTATAGAAAAATAAGTGACAGCAATATCTTCTCTGACAGTGGCGTGCCCAGGGTTTAGACTCCGGGCAAACTTGAAGCTCAAATAGTGCTAGTAATGTCTATAGATGTCCGCCAGTTGGACTTTCTTGACCTTACAATTCAATAGAATTAATAAGTTAGAAGAGCTCGATGGCGCAGGTGGTTAGAGTGCTCGGCCTGAGATCGTGGAAGTTAAGCAACTTTTGCAACGGTCGGTCATTGAATGGGTGATCAAAAAATTGTTATCTCCAGCTGCCACCGTGCTTTGATAGGCACGCTAAAGTAAGTAGAAGCAACCGGCTTCTACAGTCGTAAGCACCCGAACCAGCGCGTGGTCGGTCACGGTCCAGGTTCCCTATTCCATCCATAGGGAAGGACTGTGCCCCAGCAGTGGGGACATTTAAAGGCTGACGATGATAGATAAATTGTTTGATTGTAGGACCCACAAGAGCCGCCCCCACCCCCTCCCCCAGAAAAGCCGTGGTCGGAAGAAGAATCGCCCGTGCGCCACCTCGACGCCTCGACCTTCCGCAACACACTGCGAAAGATCAAACACGCGCTCGTCATGTTCTACGCGCCCTGTGAGTATACTCAACGAACCTGACTACTACACACACATGACACACAATATAGTCTATCATACAATATAGTTTAGCCCCACAGAAACTGTTTCATATTACACACACATCATAGTCTAGCCCCACAGTAACTGTTTCATATTACACACACATCACACACAATATAGTCTAGCCCCATAGAAACTGTTTCATATTAAACACACATCACACACAGTATAGTCTAGACTATGGGACTGTGGGACACAGTAACTGTTTCATATTACACACAGATCACACACAATGGTTGCTCGGGTAATGCTAAATATTGCCTGTAATTTTTAAAATTGCCACGATAATCAACGAAAGGAGATTTCGAACTGCGTGGATTAAAACAAATGGAGATAGTTCGGCCATCAATGCCGCGGTAGCACAATGGTCAGTGCATTCGCCCAGATAGCGAAAGGTGCGGGTTCGAGTCTCGTCAGCTGCCTGGGGGCCAATCGCCTAACGGAAATGCTTTGGAAAACGCATTCCTCCTTTGGAACCTCAGGCGGCTAGAAATAACAATATAAAATCGTAAGCGTTAGCGTTTCCCAAAGCATTTCCGTTAGGCGATTGGCCCCCTGGTCCGCGTGGATTTTTTTCTAGTAAACTTTTCTTTAAATATCTAGCAGTTACAAAATGGCTCAAAAAATAAAGCTTCATCTCTTGAATAAATATATTTGGGGCGTCTAGATGTTGCCGCCACACTCTAGCTTTGGGGATAATAATATCCTGATGAGAAAATTATCGATTATAATATTATGATTTTAACGTAGGGTGCGGCCACTGCAAGAGCTAAGCCTGAATTCGTGCGGGCATCCGAAAGATTCGTGGACGAGTTAATGGTGGCTTTAGGTGCTTTTCTAATAAATATATTTGGGGCGTCTAGATGTCGCCGCCACACCCTAGCACTGGCTACAATTATATCCTGATGAGAAAGTTATCGATTATAATATTATGATATTAACGTAGGGTGCGGCCACTGCAAGAGTACTAAGCCCGAATTCGTGCGGGCATCCGAAAGATTCGCGGACGAGTTAATGGTGGCTTTAGGTGCTGTTCTAATAAATATATTTGGGTCGTCTAGATGCCGCCACCACACTCTAGCCAGCTCTAGCCACTCTAGCCAGTGGGCTACAATTATATCCTGATGAGAGTTATCGATTATAATATTACTAGCAAACCAGTGAACCAAATGTTCACCAAAACCTGATTTCCCGACAACCGGAAGTGCTACGTTACTCAAATCCGGTTTGTAGTCTTATCAGACTATTCTTAACTTATAACTTAAATATTCCCTTTATCTATCTCTTACGGTTTGGCCGCTGAAACAGCACCACAGACAGACAGACGGACGGACTTGTCTAATAGATAAGAGATGATATTAACGTAGGGTGCGGCCACTGCAAGAGTACTAAGCCCGAATTCGTGCGGGCATCCGAAAGATTCGCGGATGAGTTAATGGTGGCTTTAGGTGCTGTTCTAATAAATATATTTGGGACGTCTAGATGCCGCCACCACACTCTAGCCAGCTCTAGCCACTCTAGCCAGTGGGCTACAATTATATCCTGATGAGAGTTATCGATTATAATATTATGATATTAACGTAGGGTGCGGCCACTGCAAGAGTACTAAGCCCGAATTCGTGCGGACATCCGAAAGATTCGCGGACGAGTTAATGGTGGCTTTAGGTGCTGTTCTAATAAATATATTTGGGACGTCTAGATGCCGCCACCACACTCTAGCCAGCTCTAGCCACTCTAGCCAGTGGGCTACAATTATATCCTGATGAGAGTTATCGATTATAATATTATGATATTAACGTAGGGTGCGGCCACTGCAAGAGTACTAAGCCCGAATTCGTGCGGGCATCCGAAAGATTCGCGGACGAGTTAATGGTGGCTTTAGGTGCTGTTCTAATAAATATATTTGGGACGTCTAGATGCCGCCACCACACTCTAGCCAGCTCTAGCCACTCTAGCCAGTGGGCTACAATTATATCCTGATGAGAGTTATCGATTATAATATTATGATATTAACGTAGGGTGCGGCCACTGCAAGAGTACTAAGCCCGAATTCGTGCGGGCATCCGAAAGATTCGCGGATGAGTTAATGGTGGCTTTCGGCGCTGTGGATTGTACCGCGCACCAAGAAGTGTGCGCGGACTACGGCGTGCGCGGCTACCCGACTATAAAGTACTTCAGCTATTTCGACAAACGGGTCGACGAATACAGCGGCGGGAGAAAGGTGAGCTTTTGTGTTGTCCCTCCATCAATATTTGTTATAAAATTTCTTTTCGAATAAGAAATTAATGATATAAAATTGCTTAAAAATTGTGGTAAATTAAAATATTTTTAAATTAAATCCAAAAAACAAAGGGGTGTCTTTTTATACGAAACTTTGCGGTGACCATATTTTGAATATGTTTAAAACTTTGAAAATTTGTCCAAAAAATTTTAAACAAGTCTCAGCAAGTTACTCCACTTCACATAATAAAAGACGGCTTCATCGTCATATTGTTTCAAATTTCCTACTATAATAAATTATCATTAACACGTTTCTTACTATGTACTTTATACCGGAATAATAAAAAAAGGGTTGCTACGCGATCAGATACTGTGAGTGTTGTGTGTCGAGTCGAGAACAGTTTCGAGTGAATAGTGAGAACGTGAACAGTGGTATGGGCGAGCGCAATAAAAGACTTCGTCGGAGGGTAGACCGATATGTCTAGCAATAACATTTTTACTACCCGCAATTACGAAATATCGTGGACTTGTAATAAACAATGAGCATGGTAGCAATCCCGTTAATAATATAAATTACTGTGGCTTTAAGGAGCTCAATGGCACAGGTGGTTAGCGCGTTAGGCTGCGATCGTTGAAGTTAAGCAACTTTCGCAGTGGTCGGTCATTGGATGGGTGCCCAAAAATCTCTCATTCCTCCTTGCTTCGGAAGGCACGTTTAGCCGTTGGTCCCGGCTACATCTGCAGGCGTTAGCACCCGCCAATCCGCACTCGGCCCGCGTGGTGGGTCATGGCCCAATCTCCCTATTCCATCCATAGGGAAGGCCATAGCCCCAGCAGTGGGGACATTAATAGGCTGATGATGATGATGACTGCGACTTTATCGTCATTATAAAATTTTGTTTGGAAGGATCTAGTTTATTCTTACGTCCGCTAGGGGCGCTGCTTACTTTTAGTAGAAACTTCGACGGCGGTGATACGTTTACGTGAGCTCTCGATAAAGTTTTCGCTTGGGCCTCTGATAAAAGACGGACTTATTATCCTCAGGAGGCGGACTTCGTATCGTTCATCCACACACAAATGGGTGGGCAGCAGACCGGACAGAAGATGAAGTCGAGCCAGGACGCTGGGTTCGGTGTTAATGTGCTCTTAGCCACCGACGACGACTTCGAGCAGATCGTCGCCTCGCAGACGCCAACCTTCGTCATGTTTTACGCTGCCTGTGAGTGTCTGTCAAGGAAAGCTAGTTATTTTCTAGTAAAAAGAGACTACGGCGTGCGCGGGAACCCGACCATCAAGTACTTCTACTAAGTAAGGAATCTCTTGACCTGTAGTGTGTTTCTTTATTTTAGTATAGGCACTAGTTACTTCAACAACTTCGTTAAGGAGTAAAGCGGAAGAATGAAGATAGGACGCTGAGATAAGGAGGCCTTTGTAAGAGACTTAGGCGTGCGCGGGAACCCGACCATCAAGTACTTCTACTAAGTAAGGAATCTCTTGACTTTTAGTGTGTTTCTTTATTTTAGTATAGACACTACTTACTTCAAAAACTTCGTCAAGGAGTAAAGCGGAAGAATGAAGATAGGACGCTGAGATAAGAAGGCCATTGTAAGAGACTACGGCGTGCGCGGGAACCCGACCATCAAGTACTTCTACTAAGTAAGGATTCTCTTGACCTGTAGTGTGTTTCTTTATTTTAGTATAGGCACTAGTTACTTCAACAACTTCGTTAAGGAGTAAAGCGGAAGAATGAAGATAGGACGCTGAGATAAGAAGGCCTTTGTAAGAGACTTAGGCGTGCGCGGGAACCCGACCATCAAGTACTTCTACTAAGTAAGGAATCTCTTGACTTTTAGTGTGTTTCTTTATTTTAGTATAGACACTACTTACTTCAAAAACTTCGTCAAGGAGTAAAGCGGAAGAATGAAGATAGGACGCTGAGATAAGAAGGCCATTGTAAGAGACTACGGCGTGCGCGGGAACCCGACCATCAAGTACTTCTACTAAGTAAGGATTCTCTTGACCTGTAGTGTGTTTCTTTATTTTAGTATAGACACTAGTTACTTCAAAAACTTCGTCAAGGAGTAAAGCGGAAGAATGAAGATAGGACGCTGAGATAAGAAGGCCATTGTAAGAGACTATTCGTGCGCGGGAACCCGACCATCTAGTACTTCTACTAAGTAAGGAATCTCTTGACCTGTAGTGTGTTTCTTTATTTTAGTATAGGCGCTAGTTACTTCAACAACTTCGTCAAGGAGTAAAGCGGAAGAATGAAGATAGGACGCTGAGATAAGAAGGCCATTGTAAGAGACTACGGCGTGCGCGGGAACCCGACCATCAAGTATTTCAGCTACTTCGACAAATGGGTCGACTTATAAAGCGGAGGGAGCAAAGGAAGCTATTATTATCTCCTTGTAGCATTATTTTAGTCTTTTAGCATGGTGTCAGCTACTTCTACAATATCATCAAGGAGTACAGCGGTGGAAGAAAGGGTAGCCACTGAAAGCAAAAGGGGACTTCGAACAGTACCCTTGGCACGAACCATTATCGAATTCGAATATTTGCGAGTCCGAAATGTCATTGTCAAATGTGTACTGATTTTTAATTCTCGTTACTTACTTTGTGGCGCTGCTGCTCAAGTTTCCATACAAAATGTGACATTGACATTTCGAACTCGCAAACTATTCGAATTCGATTATGGTTCGTGCTAGGGGTACAGATCGTCGCCTCGCAGACGCCAACCTTCGTCATGTTTTACGCTGCCTGTGAGTGTCTGCAGACCCGTCTTTCCCACACCAAAATACAAATGATTCCCACGTATTTTGTAATATTACTTGTTTGGGTGTACAGAATGCGTCATAGGTTTTTTTCACACCCTGTATATATAGTCGTGTGACACTTGTGACGCATTTCCGTTTCATCTTTTCCATAGGATTTTTCCATTTACACCCAGTAAAGAAGAAGTTTCACTTCAAAAAGTATGTAACTTGAAATTTGCGCCGCCGTCTCTCCCACTTCCTTCTAATCCTCTCCATCCAAAGGTTGTCTGTAAGAGATCGCTTTTAGCGATAAGGCCGCCCATTGTAACACTTGATTTAAATTAGACTTGCAACGAATATTCGGTTACTATTCGGTATTCGGCCTATTCGGCTGCTTTTATTATATTCGTCCGAATACCGAATATCTACATATTATTCGGCCGAATATCAAATACTTAAATAATATGTTTTGTCATAGAGAAATATTAGGTAAAATGAAAAATTAAAATCGATTGATTACGTATATATTCATATTTTCATTTCTGTTATATAATCATTTAAGTAGTCCTTGGTACATAACACAGGTACATAATCATCTTCTGAATTTGAAAAATGGAGGATTCTATGTATTTGAATTATTGTGGTAATCAAAATTTAGATGCGGTAAGGTTCTCATTTCTTTTATAATCATTTATTAAGTAGTCATTGGTACATAAAACAGGTACATAATTTAATCATTTACTGTATTAAACAAGTTAACAGTTTTTAATTCATTCAGTCATGTGATGAATGGTTACATAATAGCAATAATTTAAAGTTTACGCGCCGTTTTTGGCCATATCTCAAAAGTTGGTTTTGTCATTTAGCCGCATTTTGGCTTGAGGACGGCAGATTAGAACAATACAAAGGAGCGCGAAACAATCACGCCTGTAAAAGATTTTGGCGCTAAAATCCAGCCGAATACTTTTGCCTAATATTCGGTATTCGGTATACTGCCGAATATACTATTAGTTACAAGTCTAATTTAAATGGCTCTGTATTTATTGTAATGTTTTCTGTGGTGTGCAATAAAGTGTTTTGTATTGTATTGTAACTTATGTTTTATTTTTTCACATTAAAGGGTGTGGCCATTGCGTCACCGCGAAACCAGCGTTCAGTCGTCTCGCAACAACCGTCAAGAAGGACAACTTGCCCATCCAGGTTATAGCCGTAGACGCTTCCGAGAACGCTAAAGTTGCCGATCTAGCGGGCATAGAAACTTTACCCACATTTAAAATTTACGCTAACGGGAAATTCTTAGCGGATTACACGGGCGAGAGAACTACGGACGACATGCTCAGCTTCTGCAAATCTCATGCTAAAGTCAAAGACGAGTTGTGATTGTAGTGTACAGTCGGAAAATCAAATTGAGATTTTACTTTGCAATCATGTTAAAATACGATATTGTTTTCGTTATTATTTCGATACTCGTAATTATTGCGATACCTAACTATATAAACGTTTGTATTTTATTTTATATAATATACATATATCCATTTTAAAATAAATTAAACCAGCAGTGCTGTTGTGTAGAACAAACTAACTTTGAAACTCTTATTCCATTTTCACCGCTAATTCCACGGTGAAAAGCGAGTTTTTGCTTTTAGAATAACAGCACTGCAGATAACGCTAAAATCTCACAGACGATATGCTCAGCTTCTGCAAATCCCACGCTAAGGTCAAAGTCGCGTTAAGATCTTAGCAAAAAATCGGAAATTTAGCTTGAGATTTTATCTATTAATTTTCGAAATTTCATCCAGCTCATATTTTTTTTGTATTTAAAACTCGTAATTTACAAAGTGACGAGTTTTATTAATATTGTACACATTTATTTTGTGATAGATACAAGCATTTTAAATATTATTAGTAATCACCATATTGATATACGTATTTGAGTCTCATTATAATAATTATTTTTTAAATTTCATTAATATAATTTTTATTTTTCATTATGAATACGTAATATTTGAAATTATAGTGAATTATTGAAGAACCCTAATTTCAAACAATGAAATTATTTATTCTATCTAGGTATATTGTATATTTCTTTGACTTTAATTTGTTACAAGATTATCGAGGATCATTCATAAAAACAATATTAGCATATCAATTACTAATATATTGTAAGTATAGTAAATTACAAGTATTTTAATGTATTTTTTGTTTATTAATAAACTTAATGGAACAAAATGTACCTAGTTTTTATAAAATAAATTATTTGTATAAGTTTATTTTTGTAATGATATATTTTACACAATTGCTTTTTTCTTGACAGTTTTGTATATATATATATATATATATATATATATATATATATATATATATATATATATATATATATATATATATATTATATTTTCTGTAAAAATACTTTATTGTGAAGTTCAAAAAAACTTATGCTTACCAATTATGTTATAGATTCGTTGAAAGTATCCATTGATTATTATTATAAAAATATGATATCTTCATATTGCAATGTTGACAATACTAATGCCAATTAGAACTTTTAAGCTTTAGAACTTAATAATTAAAATTTGAAATATAGCTATATGAATATAAAATATAGATTAATATTTGAAACAATGATATTATTGTATATTTTGCAGAATATTGTGCCTTTTTACACGCAAATGTCTTATTAATGTACTTAACCCATATTGCTACGGCAATGTATCTTGATGCGGCCATTTTGTATTAAAACCGACGGTTGTACAGTTCCAAGTTGATTATAAATTTGGAGCGTTCCGAAGTTAACCATTTTTTATGAAATAACATTGACTACATCACAGGCAGACGGTTAACTTAAGATCGGTCAAGATATATTGGCTGTGCAATATAAATCAGGGTTCCGGCAAAGAGTTAATTATAATAATTATTTATCTAATATATAAAATTCTCGTGTCACGGTGTGTGCGTAATTACTACTCTAAGTACTCCGTAACGGCTCAATCGATTTTCGTGAAATTTTATATGCATATTCAGTAGGTCTGAAAAACGGACTATATCTATTTTTCATCCCCCTAAATGTTAAGGGTTTAATTCTCCTTAAAATTTTTTAAGGAGATTTTTTTTTGTCTTTTTTTTTATGGGACATCATACAAAAATTCATACAACCCTGAATTTTAACCCTTCCGCCACGAACCCCTATTTTTTTATGGCGGTACGAAGTTTGCTGGGACAGATAGTTTCTCAATATTATATACTTAGCTGTAGAGTACTAATTGTTGCGTGTACAAAGGCACAACTGTTATATTTTGGCATGTAAATGTTATCATACCTATTGTATAGCTTACCTTTCTAATAGAATATTAAAAAAAATGTCATTCATCCACACTTTTACGTTGCCACTTACGGGCGTCAGTTAAATTTTAAGTGGAATTGGGAGTTGAATCTTTGGATTTTTATCAATAGCAGAATAAATCGGGAACGCATTCGGATGTATAATGGATATTACTCAAAGAGAGGAAAGGCAGCGGATTTTCCTCTCGTATTAGAGCGCTCGTCTGAACCTTCACCTTACAGAAGAACACAGTATAATAATAATAATAACCTTGAAATTCTTACCATAATCACAATGTTCACAATATTGTTATTAATGGCTACATAAAAACAATGATATAAAAACATGCAATTTTTTTTACCAAAAATAAAAGGTATGTATTGTTCAGATTATGGTGGGTTGACACCTGAACTAGGATGAATCCTGTGTCTCAGGTAATCAACCCTCCACCCTATTCATAAAGTTGTGTACCATTTAGTAAACAATTTATTAATCCAGATAACTGTTTTTAAGTTATAAATTCAATGGAATAGCCAAAGGAGTTTGTCACGAGTGTTTGTGTGTGTGTATGTTGGTGTCAGGGTTGCCAGGCCTCTAGATTTTACAGGAGATCTCCTGTTTTTCTGAAATTTCTCCTGTTCTTCTGTTTTTTCCTACATAAATCTACTGTTTTTCTTAGAAAACAATTTTCTTTTTTTAAATTGAATGTTGAGTTGCGTTTTCCGCCATTAAGATTGTAGGTTACCTTAATTATAGTCTTAAAAAAAAAACGAGCTTTGAAGGGCGGCAGAAGCCACAGAAACTTTTCTTATTCGGGTGCAAATCCGAAAAAGTACGCCTCTGCATCTACGGTTTTTTCTTGTGGCTCTTTCCATACATCTACTGCTAATGCCTGTAACGCCTCCCGATATTTTTTTTAATCGGTCCTGGCAACACTGGTGTGTGTGTGTGTATGCGTGAGTATCTTATAATGTTTATTTTATTATTAAAAAAACTACTTTTTTGCGGTGTTGTTTCTGTCGGTGAATAAGGTTCAGGGCTATGGTCGACGTTTACCATCAGGCGGGTTATATGCGTGTTCGCCTCCCTTGTAGCAGTCTTGAGACGGCCTCTAGTTGAGCCGACCCTCTCAGGTTCGAGTCTAGAGGCTCCAGACGGAGAGGAGACCCCCCGTGGGGAGATGCCATCCGCCTGGAATACATCTAGAAGAGGCACTCGCCAATTCTCGGCTTGACGTCGCCTTAGGATCTCGCCGTCTCCAAACCCGGTGACACTGTAAAGGTCATCTGCAACCAACAGCATACACATTAAAAAAATGTTTAACATTAATAAAGAATATTGCTGTAACATTGCATACTCAAAGTATCTAAGGCGGAATAAAATCATATTAGTCATTCTAACAAGCGCTAAATTTAATTGACGTCCTTGAGTGTTAACTTTAAAATTACAGACGGGTATGGTACTAATACCCAAGTCAAAATCTGAGAACCAGATTTTGTCCCTGTTTGAAAAATTTGGTCAGCTGGGTGACATCCAAGTTGCACGTTATTTGTTACGACTTTCGTGTAATGAACCATTTAATATACGCTATGTACTTACTTTAAAAATTATGTTGGGAAAATGTTACACGTTATGGCATCTCGCGTGCCTGTTGATTGTCCTGAAGTATCTGAAGTATTGAATTTTAAGAATGCATATTGTCCATGTGATTTATGAATTACGTACTTATTTATGTATTCGTGTATGCTTTTGCATGTATTTTCCAAATATTTGAAAACTGCGTATATTTAAAAAGATTGGGACAAACGGTTTAACAGGAAAATATAATAAAATTAATTTGTCTTTTTTCTCCATTAAACCATTTAAAGTTAAATTTATTTTTAATGGTTTTGAATTTACGCATTTGGTTCGATGATGTCTATTGTGTGACGTCATTAATTTATTTTTATTTTTCTGTTAAATCATTTGCCCCAATCTTTAAATATAAGCAGTTTTTAAAAATTTGGAATGTACCCTAATTTACAGTTTTGCCTATACACATTATGAATTAGTGTTTACATACTTTGTACTTAACCTTATATTTTAGTCCTTATGGCGCAATTACACTTGGCCGTTACACCGTATTCGGGTGCACGAAAGACATTACTCGAGTTCGGACAGCCGAAGCAATATATTGTTTTAAACTTTCATGGTCACTAATATTATAGTAATATAAGTTATTTACGGGATTGTTACCATGTACCTTGTTTTTAGCGAGTTTCCGATATTTCGGCACTGTTGCAAGCGCCATGATCACGGAGTAACTGAAAATATCGGAAACTCGCTAAAAACAAGGTACATGGTAACAATCCCGTAAATAACTTATATTACTATAAGCCGAAGCAATATTTACATTGCTTTAACTTGAATACGGACTGGAAGATAGCGTCGGGTAACCAAAACGAAAACTGCCCGAATACGGGCGCACTCGACTCCGTTCAATTACATTTAGTCGTTTGTCCGAATTCTATCCGAGCTAACGACCAAAAAATGTAATTGCGCTATTACGCAGCTTTTTTCATTATTATCGATTCAAGCAAGCGCAAGTAAGTGTTCATCAGAATTACGATTAAATCACAATTTTTAGTAGCTGTTGATTTGGAGCAAATATGTCAAAACCTTTTTAGCCATCTATCATAATCGTCTTTTTATTTAAATTCCGTAAAGTTTGTTTTGTAATACTTATAACTTGCTGTATTTGTATATCGTTTTATGAGAGCCGTTATTGCTTTTAACAATGAAAATATACTCTTTATAAAATTTGTGAAGTTTTATTAGTCCATTTTTTGGATATTCCTTGTCCATTTTTTGGATATTCCTTCCTATTTTTGGATATTCCTTCCTTTGCGAAAGTTGCTTAACAACCCGAACGTAGACAAGGCTGGGAGTTCGCGCATCTAACAGACCTGCCCTCCACTCTGGAGCAAACCTGGGATTTTCACAGGGCTGGAAAACAGCGATTAAGATTCGGTCTCGGTGGCATAGTTTCTGATGACGGAAAAATATTAAATCTCGCTCGGACAAAGCCGCGCTCGTTCGGATACAGTTTCCTATCAGCCCGAGGGTGTATTCCGAAATATACATTAGTATACTGGCCAGCGGTAATGACGTCACGAATCCGACTCCATATTGTACTGGTATGCTACCATATTTTTACCGAGAAAACGAATGACGTATGACCGAGCGTGCGTGAGATGCATTCGAATATGATATATTTTTTTATTCAAAGTACAATAATGGTTTCCGAACAAAAAGAACTCCTTTTAATTGATGAGGTGAATAAAAAATGTTTTTTATTCGCACTATTTTTAATATTTCGTCGATTTATGACGTCGAGTATATTTCGGATCAATTCACTAGTATAGCGTCGATTCATGACGTCATTAGCACTGGCCAGTATACTGGTATATATTACGGAATACACCCCGAGTCATTTTGTTCGTTCGTTCAGTTGAAAATTAAGACACCATGGCACCATACGTAGGTGATGTTGTAGCATGCTTGAGCGTGGCCAAAAAAACATAAAACGGGAGCGTCCAGAATGCGCGCGGCAAACGACTGACGCTTTTTAGCAAAACAAAAAGCCGACACTCGTTGTATCGGGCCACGGTAATCTAATATATAAAATTCTCGTTTCGCGGTGTTTGTGGTTAAACTCCTCTGAAACGGCTCGACCGATTTTCGTGAAATTTTATATGCATATTCAGTAGGTCTGAGAATCGGACAACATCTATTTTTCATCCCCCTAAATATTAAGGGTAATCCAACCCTATTTTTTTTTCAATTTTAGATTGTTTTTTTTTATTTTTTTTATGATACAGCATACAAAAATACATACAACCCTAAATTTTCACCCTTCCACCACCAACCCCTATTTTTTTATGGTGGTACGAAGTTCGCTGGGTCAGTTAGTATTATCTATATAACTAGCGGACCCGATAGACGTTGTCCTGTCTACACGTCTTTGTGAATCTAAACCATTCTCAGATCCCCTTGAAGACACACAAAAAATTTCATCAAAATCGGTCCAGTCGTTTAAGAGAAGTTCAGTGACATACACACTCACAGAAGAATTATATATATAAAGATTATTACCGTGCTCGGGCGCTTGGACGTTGACGCACTTCCACATTAAACGAGCTGCCTCGCGAGGCTGTTTGTTCTGTGTGGACGCAACCAAAAGTCATGGCCGATTATGAATGTTGAATGATTTTTATTTGCTGCCCCAGTTTGACCATATATAAGGGCTCGAGTACGGACCATACCGCCTTTTTGTATTAATTAAATTTAAATGATAACAGTCTTCGCAATCTTAAAACTAACAATTTATTCAACTGTATTTTTTGTCATCCATTACGTGAACTTTGGTCAAGCTATTAGAATCATAGAAAAATGAGTCGTCATCGGATGTTTCTTGAACTACTTCTAGAGACTCGCTCGATACGGTAATGTAAGGATAACCAGACAACACGGAATCCAATGAATTATAATATTGCCTGTAGCAAAAGTATGAGGAGGCAAACCCAAGTACTGAACCAACTGTGATGTCCTCCCAGTGGTGATGGTTGTCGCAAACTCGGCTTATAGCCACAACAGTCGCTAACATCATAGGCATCAAACAAGCGAGTATTCTCAGCACCTCTCCCCGATTCCAAGACAACACTCTGAGTTTCCCGCACAGCCACAAACTCAGGTATCCCATAGAACAGAACGCAAAACTGCTGTGGCCGCTCGGGAACGACTTTCTGCCTTCTATCACGTCCCTCATATTAGAGTTGCAGTGGAAACTCCATTTACCTGTCGGGAAGCAGCGGTAGAAGAAATCTGGACGGGGCCGGCCAACTATCAGTTTTGTTGACTCTGTAATGAGAGCGTTTATTGTGAGAGCTAAAGTCCATGCTAGAAGAGATTGTACGGTGTCTTCATGCTTCCCGGTCAGGATGTAAGACAGGGATAAAATGATCAGAGGTACAATCACGATTATCACGACCATGGCCCAGGGCGGAACGTAGGAATCCCTACGAGGCCTCATGTAGTTCGTGAGCTCCGATTCTGTTATATGGTGCATGTGCGGCTTCACTTTCATTTGCAGAACGCAAACTATGAATATCAAAATCACTCTGAGAGATATCTCTGCTAGAAGATTGGGCGTTCGTGCCCGAATGCGCTCTATTTCTAACCACATAATTTGCAAACACTTCTCGTAAGACTTAACTTCTTTGTTTGCTTGTTGTAGTGTTTCTTAACAAATTAAAATCTAAAACGGCTCACGACTTTTCGTGTTTTTCTTTGCTGTAGTACGTCTTCAGTGTACGTCAGAAGAGTTTCCTCCACAGATTACATAGATTATGTTTTAAGAGTTTCTCGTGTCAATTTAAGTAGATGATTTGAAACATGATCAATGGCTGAATGGATCTCTACATACGAACCTATACGAACGCTGCCAATTATTTATAAAAAAAGAGCCACCGAATAAAAAAAAACATTAAAAATTTGGTAGATGAAGTGTAAAATAAAATCCCTGAAAACTTTCTATCCACACTCGGCAAGCAATCTTCCTAAAATTGTGTTTATTGTTTGATAAATCCTTCACATATCTTAATATATATAAATCTCGTGTCACAATGTTTGTCCTCAATGGACTCCTAAACCACTTAACCGATTATAATAAAATTCGCACACCATGTGCAGTTCGATCCAACTTGAGAGATAGGATAGTTTAAATCTCAAATTATAGTCGCAATTTTAATTTATTGCAAATTATTACTTTTGGGCGGTACGAAGTTCGCCGAGTCAGCTAGTTTTCTTATAGATTCTTTGGAAACTAGCTAGTTGTTAATAAATCTTCACAACGAGTACCTATCTAATGAATAGTACTTTACTTATCACACAAATCACGAATACTTATCCCTACTTAGTTTGCTAAGCCTTTTGTTAATTTAATAATTTAGTTGCGAAAAGTGGTGCTCATGCTTAAAATTCATTACACATTCGTTTATCGTCTTTGGTTAACCGACTTATTTAAATTATGTGTGCAAAACAAAATTACAACTCGGTCGGTCCACTCACCGACAGAAATTTACCTATTTATGTGGGTCCAGTAGTTTTGTGCAAAAAGGCTTAGACGGACAGACATACACGAGTGATCGTAAAAGGACTGTGTTTTTTACTTTTCAATAATTTGAACTACTTATATTATGTTTGGAATAACTTCGTTAGTTTATACTAGTATACAAAAGTATGTACAACTTTAAATTAATCATACAGCTACAAAAATAAAATAACACTCCAAATAATTAATTACATTGCTTAATTTTATTTTTCGTAGGTAGGTTACCTGCTTATTTATCGATCACATAAAATAATAATAAACTAACTAAACTTGCTTTTACCAATAGCCATAGCGTAATAGGTACGCTATGTGTAGCACAAGATTATCTCAAATACTATTTGTGAATGTAACTTTGATCATGAACTTGTGTTGGTTGCTTCTTGTTGCGGACAATAAATACAAAAAGTGGATTGTAGATTGCCCGATATAATGTAGCCTACACTGGTTGAATGAACGAATTACACTAAATGAGTAACCGCAAATCTTTATTTGGTGTCTGAGTTACACTCTCCCACTCAAAACGAATCTAGAAGTCATTGCACTAAGGTTCATTGTTTAACTACACTAAATTTTGGCATACTTAAGGCAGATTTGAGTAGAATGTGCTATTGCACTACATTAGACAGTAATTTTTTTACGCCTTCCATGCCATGAGTCTCATGCTAAACTAGAAGCATGGAGCCACCTGCTCTGTGAGGATGAGAAAAGTATGTATTAGGTAGAAATGAAGATATGATGCTCAAGTAGCTAACTCCAAATTTGCAAAGCCCACACAAAAAAAGCCTTATTATATGTACTGTCACAAACAATTACCGATACTGTCTTACCCTGTTTACCGTCTCTCCCTTAGGTCCTTAACCTTACCTAAGAAGAGGTAGTAACAGAACCGAAATTTATCAATTTAGTTTAACCCATTTTATCTATAATAGCAGGTTCACAGGCGCAAACATTAAATCCAGATTTTTGCGCCTGTGAAAATGAAACAAAGCAGGCAATGTCTTGTGTAAAACCGAGTGTCGATCTGTGATTTGAGTGTATATTAATAAGAGGTCACGCGTTTGTACGACGGCAGAGACAAGACAACTGAGGCGCAGGGCACTGTTACATAAATGCCTGCATACTTACACCGGAAACTTCCACTCTAAAAATAAAAGTGAACGTTCCCACTCACGTAATCGTACTCATATAATAATTATTTCAGTTAAAACACAGCGCGATATCTCCTTTGACGAATTGAGGCGTATTATGTCAGCGTCTGGTCAACAATAAGTGTGAATATCTTCCAAGAAGGTCATTGCTTTAACTAATCATTTGGATAGCGCAGAGATTATAGTAGGGGAGTCCATGCAGGGATTTTGAGATTTACTCGAGCGCGGCAGAGTAACATAAATGGGACAACCTTGCTCCTTTTGTAGTACTCCAACATCAACTGAGCTCTTTAAATAAGGTCGAATGTAAGGGCAGCAAAAAAAGAATTTGCAACAATCGGTTATGGATTTTGGTCGCATCCAAATCGTCAATCTTTTGAATAGGAGCTAGGAGGATGATTCATGTAATGTTTTTGATGAAATATGGGAAAAAATAATCTGCCGGCTTAAATGGTGGCTGTACGAAAACATAGCAAATAGAAAAAAAAATTGAGCGCATCAGATATTGAGAAGGGATGTTACGTGAATCCTCCAGTAGCAAGTATTCAAAAGACTGACGATTTGGACTATTACTTAACTATTGATTGGAAGTTAAGCAACTATCTTAACAGCCAGTCATATCATATGATAGGTAACTAAAATATATTATCTCGAGCTCCTCAGCTTTGATGTTGGCTGGACCTGCTGTTGTTAGCACCAATGTTAACTGGGCCTGCGCGACTGGTCATTGCCAATTCTCACTATTCCGATTCAGATTTCGAAATAACATGACTGTGTACCGTACAATAGAAGAATTTTGAGGTATGCTGACTATTTTGACTAAAATGCCTCGAGCTCGGTCACGATGACCCTGATAAAAGCCGTTTCGCCACCGGGACGTCAATGAGAACGAAATGACGTATAGGCCGAAGTAGCGACACATACATTTACTGTAGCCGCTAGCCGACAGCAAGCTGGTCACGTCAACTAGATCTCATACAGAAATAATCTCGTTCTCGTAGACGTCCAGGTGACGGTCGCGGTGGAAAAACGCCCTAACGAGATTTAATGTAAGTTTTCATCGGCTAAAATAGAAGATGACCAATACACATAACTGAGAATTCTCTATTCGCATCGCAAATATCTGCGAGCTCGCACGAATGCATCGCAAGAACTTCCGAGCTAATTCCGATATTACGTCACACTTGATGAGACAGTTTTAGTGTGCTCTGAGACTTCCGATGTGCGATCTTTCTTGTAGAGATGGTGATAATAAACTGAAAAGCTTTCAAATGAAAATATGCTCATTATAAAATAATCCTAAAAATAATCTGTTGTTCTCAAACCAAAGCATTTTCGAGAAAAATAGTCCTCATAAGCGTTCATAATTTTAATAAATGGATGACCCCAAAATCTTCCATTTCTTCTATATCATGTTAAGAGAAGATCATGACGACGTCGAAATCTTCCTTAAAAAATTACGACATTTCCCGTTATAATTATGTAGGTAAACCTAGTTTTTTAATAAAAATATTATAAAGAACCACTTTTGCGTGAGACTGTCTTACGAGATACAGTTTTTTTTGCTTTTACGCCTCTGGAAGTTCAATGACAATGAACTGTGCATGCGCATCGTTGTTCCTTTTTTTATTTTTACTATGCCATTGCGCAATTTTATCAGTGGTTCAATCGTAATTCGTATATCTAGTGCGCGTAGCACAATCCTACTAACATTTTAAACGCGAAAGTATGTTTAATAGTTGCATAATGATGCCGTAATGTCTGAACAGTTTTAAAAGAAAATTCCAGTCCAGATTGGTGCGTTTTGTTGCGTAGGCTACTACTGTAAACGATGTCGGTACATTGAGATAATAGTTTGGCGATGCAGGGCACGATCTAGAAATTTTGCCGCCCTTTAGTGACGTACTTTACAATTGACCCTAAGTAAATTTTGCCGCCCCTAAGGCCCTTCCTTCCTGCGTGTCGGCGCATCTTCTCTGCAGGCAGTCAATCGGGAAAACAAACCTCCCTTATTTGCGGACTCTTCGCAACAACGTCCGCTCGTTCACACCTCTATTTTTGTCACTTCCACCATGGTGGCCTCTATAACAAAGTTTGGATGTACAATGGTGCACACCCCCACGCCTTCAACGCTGTTTGAAGTCGAGTTCTGCAACATACACAGACTCCACTCTAACCTCAACACTATCCACCACCATCTTGAGACAGCACGGCCAGCATTGTTGTTCCTGACGGAGACAGACAGACAGGCTACCTTAACTATCTCGGCTACGTGCTTGAAGAGTCCTTCAAAGCGAAAGCCGGTGTATGCCTGTATGTTCAGGCAGATATTTGTTGTCGCCGTCTCCGCTGCTTGTAAGATCTCTCCTTCTCCATGTTAGGGGTACACGTCGACTCTGGTCCCCAGGCCAGAGTCTACGTATGCCTCTACAGATCCCATACTGGCGATATTAAGACAACTATACTTTTCGAACATCTTAGTCAGGCAGCAGATGACGCGCAGGAGCAATTTCCTAATGCAGAATTGGTGTTTTTGGGGGACTTTAATGCTCACCACTATTTGAGGTTAAGTTACTCGAAAACTGACCATGCAGGGATCTCTGCTCACGCATTCGCTCTCACGCATGACTTGAAGCAACTGGTCGATCAGCCCATCAGGATTCCAGATATTTCAAGTCAAGCGCTTTCATTACTGGACCTTCTGCTCACGCCCCATCCACAGGGCTATCAGCGCCACAGGCGAAGCTTTGGCATCCAACAGTGGTCAAACGCCGGATCTGTCAATATGGGTTGGCAGATTGGGACGGTACGCGTGACTACTTTGCGCCCGTCCCTTGGAAGCAGTGCTGTTTTAGTGACAAGGACCTATGAGCCAGCTCCGTTGCTAGTACTAAGGAGATTGTAATGGGTATGGAGTACTTATTCCTCATTCCAATCTCATCAGTAAGGGCACACGTAACCTCTAATTCAATCACGACTGTGCTGAAGCTGCTTCGCGTAAGCAAACGGCATATCGTGCTTGAATCAGAGGCCGC